CATGGGCTGCTCATTGAGAGGAATATGTATAGTACCCCTTCCTGGTACATGCTCTGAGCTCTGCTGAGGCTAAGCCCTGAGTCTGGGCATTGGGCGGGGGCAAGGGGGCTGCTAACTCAGCTGGTAAAGAATCCGCCTGCAATGCAGGATACCCCAGTTCAATTCCTGGGTCAGGAAGATCCACCGGACCCCAGTGTTCTTGGGTTTCCCAGCTAGCTCAGCTGGTAAAGAATCTGCCTGCAATGCGGGAGACCCGAGTTCAATCCCTGGGTTGGGAAGATCCCCTGGAGAAGGGAATGACTACTCACTCCAGTATTCTGCCCTGGAGAATTCCATGGACTGTATAGTCCAATGGGTCACAAAGAGTCAAACACGACTGAGCGACTTTCACTCACTGAGCCCACCACCACCTCAGATTTTCCAGAGGAGAATCAAGAGGTTTGGGGTGAGATTACATCATTTGTTCAAACCAATACAGCAGATGACTGAAGAACAGGAACTACACCCGGGGGTCTATGCAAGTCCCGACCGCCCTGCCCAGCAACTGGCTTGTACAAGGGCAGCCCTCCTAGGCTAACTGCATTCCCCCAATTCAGTCCTGCTCAACTCTGCTCTCCATCTGTTTCTTTTCTTAAAATATAAAAGTGATACTTTGTAACAAGATGGATTAACTATAAAAACATTATGCAAGTAAAAGAAGCCAGACACCGAAGTGTGCACATTGTATGATTCCACTTATGAAGTTTCTGGAGAGAGCAAGACAGTAGAGAGGGAAGGCAAATCCTTGGGTGCAGGAGGCTGGGATGAGTACAGGCACAGGGGAACTTTCTAGAACGACGGGCGTGTCCTAAAACTGAACTGTCGTTAACATTTGCACAACTGTCTGAATTTACTAAAAATCACTGATCTATGAGATAGGTGAATTGTATGGCATGGAAACATGCCTCTTCAGTAAAGCTGTTTCTAAAAAGTGGTAATTACATACACCCTTAAATATATAAAGTGAAAGGTGGTCATTCAGAAGTATAATGACTCCCACTAGACCCTCCATCACCATATCTTTTCCTCCCAACTTCAACATCTACAAGTTTTGGACTTCTCCCTCTCCCTTCCTGCCTCCTCTTGGACCCATGGATGCTCTTAAGGAGGCTCCTGAAGCCTTCCCAGGAAATGGTAGCACTCCCTTCCTCTCCACCACAGCCCCCAGCTCGAGACCAGCAGAGGTGAGGGGGCATCAGCATTCTCCCAGCTCCTCCCTCACCTCTTCTGTCCTGTTGCCAACACTCCAGACCTTCTCCTTCAGAGCCCCACTGCCCAGTGGTGACCTCAAAGCTCTCCTCAAGCCCCCTGCTCCCAGTGACTCCTGGCTCACATCTCCTCTCCTCCCAACACCCCCCCCCATATCCCAACATCCTCCTGATGGCTTGTGCAAGGGTAAACTTCACCTTCAATCCACTCAATTTTCCTTCTCGATGCACTCTGATCTCTATACTGAAAGAAACCTTCCTCTAGTCCCATTCCTCCCCTGGTGACCTATGTTCTTCTTTCTCCCCCCTCACAAGCCTGTCGGAAGAATAGCCAGTACAGCATCCCTTGTGTGGTTTGCACCTAAGGACCTCTTCCTCTGTCATCCATGCATCAGAGTCTGGCTCCTGCTTCCGCCACTGCAAGAACCTGTCCTCCAAGACATTCCTGGCCCACACTCAAGATGCAACATATCCCACTAGCATCACCCCAGACCCACCAGTTTCCTCACTGCCATCCATTCATCCCAGCCACAAATGGAAAACAGAGAAATCCAATTCAATATAACCAACACGTGTTAAATAACCATCATAAAGCATAGAAGAGCACTCTGCCACGATCTAATTGTGCCCAGTATACTAATCTTCCCTAAACCAATTTGTGATAACGAGTGCTATGTTCACTCAAGGAAAAACGTAAACCTCAATAAAAATGTAAGTTTAAAAGTCTGTGTAGGTTCTACAGGAGTTCTTTCAAACGCTCTTTTTGTTTCCCCCCACACTTTGAATGTTTTATTTTGTTGCTACATCAAATGCTCTTTTAAATGCTCAGTCTCCAAAGTCAAGACAGCAAGTGCTGACAGTTAGTCAAGGAGAGAACTCAGCAGGCAGGGATATGGGCTGAGGCCAACCATGATTCAGCAGCTACGCTTCCTCTGCCCAGCTTTAGCACCAGCATCTGCCCTTCTTTAGGGACAGAAATTTCAGTCTGTGGCCACTTCTTTTTGCTTTACTTGCTTCATTCCATTTTGATATGAAGTAGTTTACCCAGGGAAACTAGCAACACTTTAAAAAAATTTCCTGGGAGCAAAGGGTAATCGGATACCTATACTGAATAATGTTTAACCAATACATGCTTTTTAAAGTTAGTTGGATAAAAACCAGGGGGTCTGATGAAGCAGCCAGTCTGCTATCAGTGACCCGTATCTAATGCCCCATCGTTCTGATGCGTGGTGAGAGGCAGAGAAGACCGAGATGGGTAGTTCCTACTTGGATTGCTCCTCTTTAGCTGGGTCAGGTCTGTGTGCTGCGCTTAGTCGCTCAGTCGTGTCTGACTCTTTGTGACCCCAGGGACTGCAGCCTGCCAGGCTCCTCTGTCCATGGGATTCTCTAGGCAACAATACTGGAGTGGGTTGCCATGCCTTCCTCCAGGGGATCTTCCCCACCCAGAGATTGAACCTGGGTCTCCCGCATTACAGGCGGATTCTTTACCATCTGAGCCACCAGGGAAGCCGGGGTCAGGTCTGGGTTAAGTTTTAAAAAGGTATCATACTGCCAATGAAAATAACTATTTAATCAAGCCAAATTTCCTATTCAGCTAGCATATAAAAAGCATTCAAGAACTAAGTCATTCAATAATCATCAAATTACAGAGCTGGTAGGGAGTTCACTAAACCAACCCAGATTTAACAGATTATGAAACTGATATCCCGGGAGGGAAACACACGAGGCAGCCCTGTTAAGCAATCACAAGCAAAGACGCTAGGTCTAACCTGGCAGCCACTGGCCACACTTGGTGACTGAGCATTTCAAAGGTGACCAGTTGAAACTGAGTGAGTGAGTGAAGTCGCTTTTTGCGACTCTTTGCGCAAAAGTCCAACTCTTTGCGACCCCATGGACTGCAGCCTACTAGGCTCCTCCATCCATGGGATTCTCCAGGCAAGAATACTGGAGTGGATTGCCATTTCCTTCTCCAGAAAGTAAACATAAATAGGGAAAAAGAACTGGGCCGACTGCACATAACCCCACAGTGGGGGTCAAATGAGTTCACTTGTGATTGCCTGTGCCTCTCGTCTCTGAGAACGGAAAGATTCAATGAGTTTTTTAATAACAACTTTATTAAGGTATATAATTCACATATCATACAAGTGAACCTATTAAATATACAATTCAGTGGTTTCTAGTATCTTCACCAAGTCACGCAACCATCACCATTCTCTAATTCCAGAACCTTCTCATCATCCCTAAGAGAGACTCCATACCCATTAATGGTCATTCTCTGTTCCCTCCTCTGCCTACACCTTGTCAACTACTAATCTACATTCTGTTTTCACAGAGTTTCCTATGCTAGACTTCCATATATAAACAGAATCCTGTGGTCCTTTGTGACTGGCTTCTCTCACTTAGGATAATGTTTTTAAGGTTCAGCCATGTTGAAGCATGTATCCGTACCTTGTTCTCTTTTATAGCCAAATAATAATACCTTGTGTGGACAGACTATACTTTTTGTTTATCCATTTATTGGACACTTGGATTGTTTCCACTTTTAGGCTAACAAGAATAAAACTGCTATAATCATTTGAGTACAAGTTTTTTGGGGGGACATATTCTTTTTTTTTTCTGAATATATACCTAAGAATGGAATTGCTGGGGTCACAGTTATTAACCTTTTAGGGAACTGTCTGTCTTCCAAAGCAGTTACACCATTTTACATTTGCACCTGGAGGCTGCACTTTTAATGTATTTACAAATGTAGATTCTTCCCTCTCTAATTTCTGCCAGGCTGATTTGCTGAGAGTGCCAGGAAAGATGAGTAGGAAGGGGTGAGGGCAGAGCAGCAGGGGAGGGGTGTGGAGGGCAAGGAGACTCATGATGCTGCTTCCAGAGTCCTGTCTGCAGCTATGCGGCCTCACGCGAGTCACCTCCGGTCTTCAAGTCTCGGTTTCCTTATTTATTAAAATGAAGGCGCTAGACCAGTAGGTCTCAACTAAGGACATATAGCAAAGTCTGGAGACAATGTTGGTTGTTACAGTGGCTGGGTGATGCTCCTGGTACCTAGAGGACAGAGGTTAGGGATGCTGCTAAACATCTTACATGTGTAGGACAGCCCCCCAACAGTAAAGAATTACCTGGATGGACCCAAGCGTCTACAGTGCCAAGGTTGAGAAACCCTGCATTAGACTGAGGTGACCACACACAGGCCATTTTGAGGAACAGCCAAAATGGTTTCAAAAATGGCTGTACCACTTTATAATCCACTCAGCAATGGGGGCGGGGGTGGAGTGGTGAGTTCCATTCTCCACATCCTCATCAACACACTTATTTTTGCCAACCTAAGAGGAACGTCTGTTCTACTTATGGTTGCTGGGGGGAAGCGATAGTTAGAGAGTTTGGGATGGACATGCACACATGGCTACATTTAAAATGGATACCCAGCAAGCACCTGCTGTCTAGCACAGGGAACTCTGCTCAACGTCACGTGGCAGCCTGGATGGGAGGGGGGTTTAGGGGACAAGGGATACCTGTACATGTATGGCTGAGTCCCTTTGCCGTTCACCTGAAATCATCACAATACTGTTAATCAGCTATACCCCAATACAAAATTAGAAGTTTAGAATAAATAAAATCTTGATAGCTTCAACTCCATCCCAAAGCAAAACCAAACCAAAAAAAATAAAAAGCCTGTTCTAATAACAAGGTCCAGGATTGTTAACAGACTGCCAGTGTCATACATGAAAAGATGAGTCATTTTCTTACCTGGTGCCTGTAATTATACCAGCCATTTGATCCTGCGACAATCACCACCCAGTGCTTGCCTCCATCCTCAGGGTCATCCAGGGGAACAGCACCAATTCCCAGGACCAAGCTGAACAACACAGTGACTTCCCAAATCATCCTGCCCCGTTGGAGTTCCACTGCAGAAATCTAGGAAGAAAAAAAGGCAGAGTCAAGCCAAAAAGGAATGACAAAACCAGAAGAACACTACTGGCCCCTAAGACAAGATCACAGAAAATGGGTCAAACTTCCCTGGAGTGGAACAGGGGGGTGCCCATAGCGCCCCACCTTCACTACGGGTTGAAGTTAGGAGAATAAACCAAAGAATATTGAGGAAGCTCTTGGGGCAACTTTTTAAAGTTTTTGCCACAACTTGGAATACGGAAAACAAAATTCACTAATAAACTTCACTGTGTTGGAAAAATATCTACCACATACTATGAACTGTTTTAAGAAAAGAACAGACATATAATGTGTGCATAGCAAAATGTGGAAGGCAGACAAAATCTAACAGTAGTTATTCTTGAGTGGTAAATAGGTAGAATTAAGAATGATCTTCTTTCTTTTTGTCTCTCTTTACTACAAATAATATATATTACTTATACAACAAAGTTTGTAAAAATTCAACATACACTTGATGTAAATACTGAGGGGCAATTTATGCATGTGAGCTATCTGGATAAAATGTAGTCTAACACTGGCAGCCCAAATGAATGTCTTTGTATAATGCTTACAACCCATTTACATTATTCTGTACAAGAGGCTGGGCAAACATTTTAATCTTTGTTTTACTGGATGGGGAGGTTGAAGCAAGAGAGAAGTGACTTACCCAATATTCATGGACAGTCAGAACTGGCCACAGACCAGAACCCATGCCTTCTGAATTCCTGGTCCACCCTTTCTGCTACATGGTTCCGCATCTCAAGACTTTATTCTTAATGAGGTACATGCCCAATTTTACACTTCACGGCCAAAACTTTAAAGAGAGTTTTAAAGCACAAAAGGCAGAGCTAAGGCCGAGTCCTGGCCACCCTGTATTACTCAGACAAGTACGCTGTTTTAATGGCCTGTGTCCTGACTATGTTATTTTTAAAAAAGCCTTCCTATGGCAGAAGCCAGGCCTGTCATTCTGAGATAAGAGGAAAAACAGTCGTTGAGATGTAGGGACTCAGAACAGAATAGTCTACGAGGCTAACCTCTGCCTCTGATGCTTTTTGACAAAACAGTGCTCATTTACTCATTCATTAATGCATTCACTCATTCATTCACCCACTCAGAGTCTCCTGAACTCTGACCCTGCCAGAAAAAGCACTGGGGGTTGGGAACGCAGTAAGGACAAGTCGAAGCCTCTGTCCTCATGGACTCCAGAGCCAGCTAAGGCACGAAAGAAGTCTAGGAAACCATCCTCAGCATCTGTGCCTAAGACTGTGCTAAACCTCAAAATGATGGGATTTCCCCCCAAGTGAAAAAACAGGAAGCCCTGAGTCTGGTAAAAGTTTTAAAAAGTAAAGACACTTTTACTTTTTTAAAAAAAAAAGTAAAGGCCAGCACTTCTCCAAGTTGACTATATGCCCAGATTGCCTGGGGGGCCTGTTAGAAGGTGGAGTCTGACTCAGTAGGCATGGGCAGGGCCTGAGACTCTGCATTTCTGACAAGCTCTGGGTGATACCCAGGACTACACTTAGCCGCAGCAGGCCTCTTACTGGGCAGTCAGCTCTGCCCAGAAGCCCAGCTTCCTAGTCAAGAAACTGTACTACTCTATCCCCGGATGACTTCTCCCAGGAACTCAATTCTTCAGATGTAAGAATTAAGAATCTGAGGTGGGGGGACTTCCCTGGCAGTCCAGTGGTTGAGACTCTGAGCTTCCAATACAGGGGGCAGGGGTTCAATCCCTGGTCAGGGAATTAGGATTCTGCATGCCACACAGCATGGCCAAACAACAAAAAAGAATCTGAGTTGGTGCTAGATCCAGGTTTCTTTAGCTCCACTACAAAGTCATGGATGCACAGCTAGCTAGCTAGTTAAGTAGCTCAGTCGCCTCCGACTCTTTGCGACCCCGTGGACTGTAGCCTATCAGGCTCCTCCCTCCATGGGATTCTCCAGGCAAGAATACTGGAGTGGGTTGCCATTTCCTTCTCCAGGGGATCTTCCGCACCCAGGGATCGAACGGGTAACTACAATAATGCGCCCCAGATTTGGTTCAAGATTGTCTTGAAATGGTCAAGGTGAGTAACAAATGAGGGCAGTGGACTTCCCAGGCCACCCAGTCCCGGAACCCGCTGGTCTATTAATATGTCACTGTGTATGAGAGGATGTTTTCTCATGTCCACTTGACCTGCCCAGGGCTCACCGAGGGATAATAAAAGGGGAAGTGATACAAAGGTATGAAGCAGCAGCAATGAGGTCAGGCAAGAGACAGTCAAGCTCCCACCCACAGAGCTCTGCAGGGGCCCCCACACTGGGCGGGGAGGTGTGCCAGTGATAGGGGAGGTCATGCAACCAGCAGCCTCCCAAGAAGCCTTCTCCTGGGGCAGGGGTCAGCAAACTCTCTGTAAAGGGCTGGAAAGTAGGTATTTTCAGCTCGGCAGGTCACGTCATCCCCATCGCAACTCTTCAGCTCTCCCATTGTATCACAAAGCAGCCACAGACGTACAGAAACCAGTGAACAAATGGCTACATTCCAATCAGACTGAAATAGGTGGTCTCTGTGGCCTGCCCTCAGGAGCCAGAATGTGTTCTCAGCCCACATGGCAGGTACAGTCTGGGGTTTTTATCATCTTTCATCATCAGTCATAAAATAGGCTTTCTGGTTTGCATACCACTCTTTCTGAGTGTCTATCATGTGACTCAATCCTGAAGAGGCTGATCTGTCTGGAGGCACTAGTGCCTGACTTCTTCCTTTCTTTTTTGTCTTTCTCTTTTCCTTTTTTTTTTTTGTGTGTGTGCCTCAGGGCATGTGGGATCTTAGTTCCCCTGACCAGGGGTGAAATCTGTGCCCCCAGCAGAGGAGGCTCAGAGTTTTAGTCACTGGACCGCTGGGGAATTCCCCCTTTCATATTTAAATAAAATATACTAGAGTCAACGGTTGGTCTGCCTGAGCCACAGAATAGACACCACCAGCTCAACTGCCTAAATCAGCAAACAAAAAACACCACCAGGTTGTTTTTACAAATTCCAGTCTACCTTCCATTCTTCTACTAAAACACTAGCAAGTTACTCCTTGGTGAGGGAAAGTACCTTATTCATACACAAGGAACATTTTCAGAGTTAACATTTGGCGATTTTCTTGTCTTTTTTTTTTTATTATTAACACAGAGTTGTGGTTCCTTGAATACAATGCCAAGTTACAAGCCTCACCATGTGACACCGATTGGGAAATGCCACTTAAAAAACACAAACACTAATATGTTGGGAAACGTACGGGGCCTGGGGTGAAGGAAAGATGTGAAGTAATACAATCCTTCCATCACCCTTAGCAATGAACATGTCTCAAAACAGCAGGTTTCAGATGGAAATTTCCTGGTCAGCACTATTCTTGACAAAGTCAAGATCAGGAAAACAAAGTCACAAATAATCTTGCAGCATACCTACGATTCTTGTTTCAGCAGAGTAAAAAGTTCATGAATAAAAAGTAAACAATGATCCCTGGGGCTTCCCTGATAGCTCAGTGGTTAAGAATCTGCCTTCCAATGCAAGGGACACAAATTTGATCCCTGGTTGGGGAACGAGGATCCCACACGCTGCAGGGTAACTTCGTCCACAGGCTGCAACTAGAGAAGCACCACAATGAAGACCCAGCGCAGTCAAAAAAAAAAAAAAAAAGTAAATGATCTCTGCCAAACTGACCCAGGAAGACTGCTATTTCTTGCCATGGCGCTCCACGGCCCCAGTCACACAGGCATCGTCTTCTACTTCTTCCTATCATCTACTCATCCATCCAACACACACGGCCTGAGCACCCACCAGGTGCTCACAGGGACTGAACAGGGAGCCAAACTGGCGAAACCCTTTGCAGAGCTGACATTCTAGCAGGAAGAGACAGGTTGTCCGGTGGTCATGAGTGCTGGGGAAGAAATACAGGCAGAAGAGGAAGTCCCGGTGGGAGTGTCAGGTATCGTTTTTCAAAAAGGGAAGATTTTAAGAAGGTGAGGGAGCTCGCCCATTTGTAGCAGCAAAACCCCGGAGGCAACAAATGGTCATTTATGGGGGTTGTCTGTTGTTGCTGTCCAGTTGCTATGTCCATCTCTTTGCAACCCCATGGACTGTAGCACACCAGGCTCCTCTCTCCTCCACTATCTCCCAGAATTTGCTCAAATTCAGGTCTACTGAGTTGATAATCCTATCTAGCCATCTCATCCTCTGCCACCCCCTTCTCCTTTGGCCTTCAATCTTTTCCAACATCAGGGGCTTTTCCATCTACAGAGTACTGTTTATCAAATCAATTATCTGTGTGTGTGTGTGTGTGTGTGTGTGTTAATAGCTCAGTCATGTCCAACTCTTTGCAGCCCCATGGACTGTAGCCCACCAGGCTCCTCCATCCATGGGACTTTTCAGGCAAGAATACTGGAGTGGGTTCCCAATCCAGGAATCGAACTTGGGTCTCCTGCATTGCAGGCAGACTCTTTACCCTCTGAGCCACCAGGGAAGCCCTAAATCAAATATGATACATCCTTACGATGGGATACAGTGACAACTTTTAAAGAAAAAGGTAGTTCTTAAAAGTGCTGAGAGTGGGAAGGCCCCTGAAAAGATGCTCAGGGGTATGTGTTTAGTCTGGTAACCATTCGCAGGGAGAAAATGACCCAGGGGAGCTGTTGCTCTAACCAGGGGAGAGAGGAAAGTCTCCCCAGAGTGCTCTGTGCTGCTTGCTGCACAGCGAGGGCGGGATATGCGTGGGTATCTATGAACCAAGGAGTGTGCAAGGCACTTTCCCACCCTCACAACAGCCTGTGAGCAGTCTCATTACCCCCTCCAGCTGAGACAGACTAGCAGAGGTAGAGAAACTTGGTGGAAAGTGGCACTGCTGGGTGACACACAGATCTGCTTCCAAAGATTGCTTCTTCCACTACACCACCTCGCTTGTCACACCACAAAAGCATTGTTTCTCTGACTATCTCAGA